TTCTAATCAGTTCTGCATTCTACCTATAGTATATTCATCGTGACCATATTCCATAAGTCCATTTACCCAAATATTAAATGAAAACATGACCAAAATTTCACAAAAAATTATCTTGTCCGTTAATTATCTGATTTCTTTCAATTTGATAATTTATTGACTCAAAGTAAAACTCAGACACCATAACTCATCAGTGGCTTTCCCCCTCTGCTGAGTATCACTGTTCATTGTCAAATAAGGAAGCAACACATTTCTTCCACTTTTAGAGTACATGATGTTAGAACTGATTCAAGGGTAGAGACCAAAATTTTCTGAATTGACTTGCAGTTAGAATGGTTTCACCTGGAAACACATTTAAAAGACTCAAATTTCAGAGAAGATGTCTACATATTCAAAATAATGTACCTTAGCCTGGCACAAAAACCTGAAACAGCAAGCAGTAGACCTTTTTTTCCTTGGTTCTCAATAATTGAAATCACCCACCACATAAATACACTAGGTGGCACTGCACATCAAGATACAACAATTTCTGCAGGATCAGAAATTCTAGAATAGCTTAATAAGATAAATCCCAAAGCACAAAGTATGTGCACATATTTGCGGCCTCACAGAATTATTTCTTACAATAAAGCTATTGGAAACTTTTATCTGAAGCAAGGATGATCTGTTTGTCAAGACAATTTGCAGTTTCAGGAACTAAGTAACACTCACAAGATCTTATAAAAGCTATTTTAAGTGTATGCCTATTAAATTCAAAGTCATACATCTTTACGTAGGAATCACAATACAATCATGAGGCAGATTACTCAAATAAGGACTATAAACAAGAAGTATCTGAATAGTCAGATAATACAGTAATATGTTAGAAACTCTGTAGCTGTGATAAGTATTTTAGACATATTGCCTTGTAAAGATGTTGGCTTACGGGCTTAAATCCATGCCCAGCTAGTGTGGTACTTAGGCACACTGATTTACACACATACACACACACAATCCAATACGAGGATTTCAGTAAATCCTTTAGGTCATGTTTGAGGATGATATTCAATTAAGGTCAGAACATGAGAATTATGAACTATATATTCATCCCCGTAAGGAATAAAACAGAAAACTAAAATAAAGTCAAGACTTTGCTGCAGAGTTGTGAAACACTCCTGTTTGATTTTGAAGTGTTTCTCGTCTCCAACATACAGTATTTGCAAAATGGCTGTGACGCACCTTAAGAATAAATAATTTTATTTGCATAACTGCACTAACGCATGGACAAAAATAATGTCTTAGATATAGAGAAAGCTCAAGAACCAGAGGCAGTGTGGGCACAGTTCTGTTCAGATCACTTGACCCTGATGAGGAAGCTATATTGTTTCTAGTATCTGAGTATTTTGCAATGCGTTCTACCACATGTATAAATAGCATATGCAAAACCAGATTCTGATAGACAGGGCAACTTTACCGGGAAGGAAGGAGTTGGGCATGCAGGTGGTACTTACTTGCTTGGGGGCAATCCGTTGAAAAGCGGAATCATACTATCAGGACACCCTTAGCAAGGAATGCGATCAGTGCTAGTGCTCCCAAGCAGTATGAACAACCAGAAGGTTGCTAAATAACTGAACTGGCCACAGCCATTCTGGCACTAGTTATGAGTAATACTTGCATAAAGAAATGCACTGTAATCTGCAATTGGTGTGGCCTCTTCCATTTGAAGCAAATTCACCCAAGATCCTGAAGGCATTTGACCTGACCTGTCAGCCAAAAACTACCTTGTCCTTATGCTGTTATCCAACTCTAATAGAAGTCAAGATAAAGTTTTGTATACTTCAATAGAAAGAAAGAAAATAAGGCCATAAAGGAACTTTATATATGGACAGCTATTTTAATAAACTCACATTTGTGCTGTTAAACTCCAAAGGATTTTTTTTCTAAAACAAGGTCCTCCTTTAAAGGCAAGTGTATGATCTTTGTTTTACAAAAAGAAAACGACCATCTAATCTAGAGCTTTCCTTCACATTGAACAAATTTGCTTTCAGTTCTAATACAGTTTTCACGTAAGGGAAGTGCTGGCATATTAAAAATTGCACCAAAGAAAGATTTACAGTGAATTCTCAGTAACTGATGAAAAAAAAATAAATTGCAACGATATGGCAATTCTCTCATTATTAAGAAATAATAGCACACAGTATGCAGTAATCATTTGCTGCTTTTCATTTTGTAAATATCTAGAATTTCTGTAAAAGGAAGTTATCTTCTATCTTAATTAGAAACTCACTATTTAATCTAGGCTAAAGGTAGTTATGGAAAGCTCATATTGGAAAAACATTCCTTAGGTGAGATTAACACGTCAAGATTCTCAAATTCAGATTTCTTCAAACAGGCATACCCAAACACATTTACAGTGGGAGCTGAAATGAAGTAGAGATAATGCTTTTGCTTCCAATTTGATCCTAAGTTCCATTACAGAATATAGTCAGAACATACATCACTAAACGTTACAAAACCATTTGGGAGAAAGTAAGTATATGCTTGTTAACAGGATTCCTCCATTCTTACACAATCCCCTCCAGTATCTAATTCTCAAAAAGACATCTACACACACTCCAGAAAATCTGTATTCAGGCACAAATTCTTTCTTTGAAAGCATGGGGGAAATAACCGTTACATCAGGTCTAGGTCTGAAACATGAGGCTGATGACTGGATAAATAAAAGCAGATTTATGTATACTTCTCAAGTTAACAAACAAAAAGCCAAACGCTAAAATTGGAAAAAAAAGTTTTGCTGAATTTGTGAAATTTAAGTCAGAAACCCAAGCATCAAAAAATTAAGCCACCAAAAAATAGAAGCCATTCTTCAACATGTGGCCATAGGTGTTCAGCAGCTACTTTGTCTGGGCTAATGATACAGATTTTTACCATTTTTGAAACTTCATCTTAAAGAATTAGCTCCTTCCTGCCATTTATGCTATGCAGAATCATTTTGCTCTCATTTAAAAAAAGATATTTAATAAAAGTTAAAATACATTGACAGTATTTGCTGGACAATGGTTAATCTCACTTGGACACATGCTTTAAATTAAATATTCAAGAGACAAAGATATCCAAACTAATTTTCAATGACAATTTCTTATAAAAAGTAGGCTAATGCATTACCATTTAGTTAAAAAGACTATGAACATGAGTTTGGCCCAAAGCCCACTAATGTGAACGGAAAATCTTACACTAACTTCAAAGGACTTGGGATCAGTCTCTATAATAACTACATGAAGAACATTCCATTTTGGGAGATGCAGCTACACAGCAGTGGTTAATAAAGTCAATGTGTGTTTTTAGTGGTTGGAACTTAGTTCAGCAAAGAGTTATACTGGGAAGCAAATAGACTCAACTGCCTAATAGACTACTAAAAAAAAAAAAAAAAAAAAGGCAGAAGGTCATAAAGTGCCCAGGCCCTCAAGGTATCAGAAGACTGGGAGGAACCCCATATTATGGGACACTACTCTAATAGGAAAAACCTCACCATAGTAAAAATTCTCTAGGTCTCAAGCTGTAAAGCCAATTTTACCGTAATCTTTTACAAAGCATTTAGAGATGACCATGCTCAGCTGGCATGCAGCTACTGCCACTGAAGCCGGCCAGTGCTGCGCATTCAGAACGGATGGCTGCACTTCCTGCAAGCTCCTGCCTTCGGCAGCAGGAGCAAGCTCCTCAGTGACCGTTTGCATCACCCCCCACCCATGACAGTGGATGCTGTCACCTACTAATGAGAACCAAAAAATTGCACTCATAAAGGATGAACAACACGCTAATTTACACCCCTCACCTCAGTGAAAAGGTTATTAAAAATTACATGCTATTTACATACTTAAAGAACTCATTCAGAACAGATCCAAATTTCGAATAATAAAATGAGTTAGCTTTATTATACGGAACAATCACTGAATTTTAAAAAATGCAAACCCCATTTCCCTTTCTTTTAGGAAATTTCTGTATGGAACTTCTTCCACATCCTTCAAAGTCGATGCTATCTTTTTGAGTAAGTAAAAAATATTCTCAGGCAAGGCTCAAGTCACCTGCAGGTTTGTACATCTCCAATCCTGTTTCCATTATTTCAAAAACATCATTCTTTCCCTTTTTCTGAATTCAATTATTTCACAAGGAGCAAAGGAAATTAGCTAATGGGTTATATAAAAATAAACGGTTAAAACTGGCTGTGTAAAGTAAGGAAACAAAAACAATGAGAAAAATATTTTCCTCTCTAGTCATTTTTCAGTAAGAATTTGTATCTTGAACCAATAAAAGACATAAAAAATTCTGACAAATTGTGATTTTTAAGTTGACAGAACTGACTGAAGTATGAACTGCATTTTCTTCTTGGTAGCCATTTTAAGTAACTATATATAACAAGGGTAACTAAAAATTGATTTGGACAGAAAAATATGTAATGGTGTTCTAAATGCCAAATAACAAACGAGTAAATATTGGACTCACTGTTATTCAAATTATTAAATCAGAAACTAGCTTCATTCATAAATTTTAAATGTAAGGTTTATTTTATGCTGACAAAAATCTACATCTGAAATTCACATTATCTCACTATCAAGTTGCAGCTGGAAGTTAACAGAAGACCTGGTAACATTTTTAAAAAACATCAGAGAGAAAACCAGATGAAAAGAATTGGCTGTGCAAAGAGTAAATCTAAGTTAAGTTTTCTCTTCATTAAAGACAATTAATAACGGGGCCAAATCACAAGTTAAGTTGCCATGGTCAGAGAAACAACAGCATTACTGCCAAACCTTCAAGAAAAATTAAAAAGCCAAGTATCTAAAGGCAGGAAATATTTCTTCTTTACCACCATGTTCAATAAACTTCTATTTTACAGAAATAAAGATAACAAAGCTAATATTCAGTACTCAGGTAATATTTCCTGCTAAACGGCATGCAAAATAAAATCAAAATATCATTGTCAAACTGGAAAATGCACTGTACAGAAAATCTTAATCCAGTATACTTACATTATTGCATTCTCCCAGGAAATACAGTGCAAATCCATCAGCTTTTGTAGCTGCCAAAGCAATAATAAAAGAAATAATTGTACTCACAAGGGGAAATCAAATTCGTACAAGATCTCTGAGGGAAAACCACAGATTCAATTCCACTCAGGACAAACATCTAAGATTCTAAAGGCAAAGGTCTATTTCTGTGTCCCTTGAAATTTCCCAGACTTTACAAAGTTAGAGGTATGAGATAACTCCTGTTTTCCCCATTGTCATTTACTACAGTCTAAAAGATAATTAGAAGCAACCTCTTTATACATATTATTCCTATTCCAAGGTCTAATGTCTCTAAATTCAAATTAATTCATATGACAGTATAGAAGTAACATAAGAACAACTATTTACAATATAATCAGCCAGACAACATTATAATTTCCATGAGTAAAATAAATATCATTAGTAGATTGCAAGCTATACCAAAGGATACAAAGTCCTTGCCTTAAAATAGAAAATTATGGGAAACTAAAATGTTGCAAATATTACCATAAAAATGTGTTTCAAAACAAACTGTTTCTGTTTTCTGCACCTGCCCATATTAAAAACACTGACACACACCAGAAAATTTATACTTGTCAGATTTCTGCCAGATTCAGATTGTTATATGAAACAGGGTAAAGTCGAATTTCTTAAAATCTCAAAAGTTTAAAGTCAACCAGTCATCATAACTTATTGCTAAAATAAAGACTCTCAAAATCAGAAGAGGATATAGCAGTCAATGTTTTTTACCCCACTTTACACAACAGGCTTTGATACTTTGAGTGTAAGTCGGTCTTTACAACAGTTAATAAACTTTCTAACCAGTAAATTTATGTATCCGATACCCAGGTTTTATGAATGAATGTAAGAATCCATTTAGTTCATTTCAGGGGAGTGATTATACTTGTGTGTGATCAAATCAATTGGCTTTCTGCATTTCATTGACAAAAGGAAAAAAAAATCCTACTGTGTAGTTACTTGCTTATTGTCAACTGAGTTACACCAGTGAGAGTTCAAGGCATGGTAATTTGCATTCAGATTTTAAATCCCTCAGCTGTAGTATGTAAGCACACTCAGTTAAGAGGCAAACAAGCACTGTAAAGGAAGTAGAAAAAACCCCAAAACTCATCTGCTTCAGAAAAGAAAAAAAAATTGTAAAAGGTAAGCAGACTGTCTCCTATAGCTTCCCGCTTGCTGTGTATTAACAAAATCCACTCTAATTTGCTGTGAGGTGGACATCAATATCCAAATAACCACTTAAGCAAAATCAGCAAACAGTAGTCCTTTTAGAACATCATGTATATAAACCAGAACTATTGCTCATCATTACAAAATGATAAAGTAGCAGGGATGGTAAAGCTTTTCAAAAGAGTTTACTGAAAGCTATACTGAACAAAGGTACTGGTATTTCCTATTAAAGTCTGAGTACATCCACTCTGGCTAAAAAGAAGCAGAATTACACTTATACCATTATTGGGAATTTTTTTTGGTTTTATTTTTTAACTTGTGACCATGTGTAGCATTTTTTTACCACAAAAGGTACTTACATCAGATAGAAAAAAATTGTTGTTTAACTGAATGTAATTTGAGATCACACAGAAGATACGCCCTCTTTCAGGAACATCTCCGTTTTCTTTCAAAAGGAGTTCAAGCATATCAAACGATATTACTGACAGATTTATTTTCTTTTTACTTGCAATATTGACACTGCAACACCATTGTAATCAGAATAGTCTATTCTTTGGTTCATTCTATGACAGGGTGACCCCGCTTGGTGGATGAGGGAAAGGCTTTGGATATTGTCTACCCGGACTTCAGTAAAGCCTTTGACACTGTTTCCCACAGCATTCTCCTGGAGAAATTGGCTGCTCACAGTTTGGATGGACATACTCTTCACTGAGTTAAAAAGTGGCTGGATGGCCAGGCCTAAAGAGTGGTGCTGAATGGAATTCAATCCAGTTAGCAGCTGGTCACAAGTGGTGTTCCCCAGGGCTCAGTATTGGGATCAGTTCTGTTTAATATCTTTATTGATGATCTGGGATAAGGGGAACGAGTGCACCCTCAGTAAGTTTGCAGATGACACCAAGTTGGGCAGGAGTGTTGATCTGCCCAACGGTAGAAAGGCTCTGCAGAGGGATCTGGACAGGCTGGATCGATGGGCTGAGGCCAATGCTATGAGCTTCAACAAGACCAAGTGCTGGGTCGCAACAACCCCACGCAGTGCTACAGGCCTGGGGATGAGTGGCTGGAAATCTGCCCGGCAGAAAAGGACCTGGGGGTGCTGGTCAACAGCCAGCTGAACGTGACCCAGCAGTGTGCCCAGGTGGCCAAGAAGGCCAACAGCGTCCTGGCCTGTATCAGAAACAGTGTGGCCAGCAGGAGTAGGTAGGTGCCCCTGTACTCAGCACTGGTGAGGCCACATCTCAAATACTGGGTTCAGTTTTGGGCCACTCACTACAAGAAAGACATTGAGACACTGGAGTGGGTCCAAAGAAGGGTAGCGAAACTGGTATGCGGTCTAGAGCACAAGTCTAATGAGGAGTGGCTGAAGCAACTGGGGTTGTTTAGCCTGGGGGAAATGACGTTGAAGGGAGACCTTATCCCTCTCTACAACTACATGAAAGGAGGTTGTAGCGAGGTGGGGGTCGGTCTCTTCTCCGAAGTATCAAGCGATAGGACAAGAGGAAATGGCCTCAAGTTTCACCAGGGAAGTTTACATTGGATATCAGGAAATATTTCTTCACTGAAAGGGTTATCAAGCATTGGAATGGGCTGCCCAGGAAAGTGGTGGAGTCATCATCCCTGGAGGTACTTAAAAGACGTGTAGATAAGCAGCCTAGTGACACAGTTTAGTGGTAAACTTGGCAGTGTTAGGTTAATGGTTGGACTTCATGATCTTAAAGGCCTTTTCCAACCTAAATGATTCTATGACTTACAACTCTTTACAAAGATGAAATTCACTTAAGTTCAGTCAGGGATTCGCTGAGGGACAGAAGGCAAAGTAAGTTCATACCGACAGAACATCCAAAGAAAACACTACTACCAAATCATACGATGTTTTCAGTTGGAAGGGACATTAAAGATCACCTAGTTCCAACCCCTCTGCCATAGGCAGGGACACCCTCCACTAGACCAGGCTGCTCAAAACCCAATCCAATCTGGCCTTGAAAATCAATCCCTCAATTCCTGTCTTTATTAATTAAACTACCTAAGAAATGTGATGTGCACTGATGCCAAGTAAAAGCTCAGAGACATCTGATTCTCCTTCTTACCTATTTTAATGATGCTGCTCAGTTCATACAGAAGTAGTTGGTTATCTCCTCCTGTATCCAGGCGCTGTTCTATGTAGCTATTCAATTCGTACACCACACCTTGCATATTTGTATCCTGGTACTATGGAAGCAAAGACAAGAAGTACATTTTAGAATAACTCCAATGTATTTTACAGGTTTTAAACATATAAATTAATTAAAAATACTATGTTGAGATTTCAATACCAAGTCAATCGTGACTGGCCTAATCCAGACACCTGAAAAACTGGGTCATTGTAAAGCAAGAGGCACAGTACTCCACTCTATGCTCCATTAGACATTTGTTCAAAGCATACCAAGTACATCACTAAGCAACTAGTGATTGCTTGAAATTGGCCAAGGTTACATGACAATGTCTCAAGAACAAACAGACATGCAACAATTATAAGATAAGTAACTTTCAACTTCTTCCTTTTAAACTCCTACTCCACCATGAAAGGAGGCAACTAGCTGCCTTTACCACCATCTTCCACCTCAAATTCATTAACCAAATGCCAGAACTGTGCCAAGCACCAGAACCTTGAGATGCTCAGCCTTTCAAATACAGCAGCAATTAACACCAACAGACTGAAGGACAGAAATTGCATTAGTCAAAATCACACTAGCCACCGTGGCCTAACAGGCATTTGTTTCAACTGAAGATGGCAGACAAAGCCAGAAAGAGATTACAAATTAGGATATTTAGATGGGAGCAATGGTGTGCGGGTTGCTGGTATGATGACACAGCACGACATGGCTAAAATCTCATAGGAAAGGAGATGTAGCGTCCTTTCAGGGGCCCAGCTGCATTTGGTTATCCAGATCCTGAGTCCTGAAGGGCTGATAAAACTGGCAATAAACGTGCATGTGTAGCATGACAGCATCATGAACAATAACTTCACAGAAAGCAATACTTGGCAGTAAGTAAAGATTCATTACCCTGCCCGAAACTGGTAATGTGGTAACTGAAGAAAGTAATATGGTCAATTACTTATTGAACTCAGCGATGCAGTAAATTGCACTGCTTAATATAAAAATGAAGCTGGTGATATTTAGATGAATTAATGTTGCTTGAAAGACTAAGACTTATTCTCCTGCTCATTCATACTTTAGAGCCAAACGCAATATAGACCAGACTAATATAAACAGTACTATGGAAAATGCCACAGAAGTTCAGAGTATCACAGTCTACCCACCAGTCTCACGTTTATGTGCATGTATGTAACTCTGTTCTAGATCTCTCTAGATCTTCTCTGTTTGTAACTTTGAGTAAACCTGTACATGTGACACTTACTGATGGATTAAGCACATAACTTACACAGTATATGCCATAATATAACTTTTATTCACTATTACTTTCATGCATTTCTACGTACAAGACACTATGTCATGAATACAGAGCATACGGCCATATATATATATATATATATTTTTAGGACAGGTTTGGCTTCTCCCTCTCAAAAACCCCCAACAAACTCTACCAATAAAAAACCCAAGTCCTAAGTGCTTGCTGGATAACATCAATTCCCAATTCCTTTAAATTAAGTAGGTCTTAATCTTGACTTTAAAATGGCTCCTGAGAACATACAATGTTTGCCATGACCCCTTCTTAACACATGGTGGTCTGTTAATCTATTGCTCCAGATGGACGTATTAGAACATTTGAGACCTAGAGCGTCCAAAATGTTCTCAATGTATAACACACTTAACACTGAATAATTCTTTCTATAAATTGATGTGATGATTATAAATTGTGACAGCGATGTAAGGTCACACTGAATACATGCGTAAACTGCTGTAAGTCTTAAGCTTACAATGCAGCATGCCATTATCATTATTAGCACCGTATGGCAGCTGGCAAGCTTCCATTGACTGTCCCCTGTTGTGTCCCACATTTACTACTGCATGATTCTTCAAAGGGAGAAAACAATAGCATCGTTTCATATAAGTGGAATTTTTATACTTACAAAACAGCTGTAAGTAGCCATGTAACAGGAAAACAGTGATTGAGAGAGTCTGTATTATTCACGTGTTAACCCATATCTGCAAGTGTATGTGTGGCTGCACATCCTAAAGCAACAACAGCTAACCAAGCACACATGCACAAAACCTTTATCATGTGGAAAAATGCCTTCTCAGAACTTGGAAACTGATGCATCTCTCTTCACCTGTGATGCACAGTCAGGATTTAACTAAAATCTTCAAAGATTAAAGCTAATACATTAAGAGAACGCATCATCAAAATGAGCCCACTGGCGTACCAGCCGTGGCAGAACAGTAACTTTCCCCACAATCAAGCAACAGTTCCGCATGTGTAGTAATTACATAATAAGCTATGTGCCCTTATCCTCACCTATGCAACATATGCTTGCAAACATTTTCTAACCAGGGCAAATCATTGCATGCCTCCATGTTACTAAAAAGATGGTAGCTGCGTTAATACATACAGTTGTAATACAGCAGATTTCTATTACTGGTAATCTGTGGATCCACAACTGGCCAGATGAATAGAATTTGGATTCACAATTAACTTAGATCAATCAGCAGCAAAGAATTACTCTGTCATGCTGTAAAATGGTTTTATTTTTATTACAGTGGAGAGAAAGAGGTTTATTTATTTGGTTCTAGGCATTTTAGACTGGATAACCACAATTATGTTTGGTTGAAAAGCCACAATATTCTTGAGAAAACCATGTATTTAAACACTGAATAAGCCACCAGCAAACCTTGGTACAAGCACTACCCAATGTGGTTGCTTACACAGACCTGCACATATTTGGTGTAAAACTTACTTTAGGAAAGTAGTTCCTCAAAAAAATTCAACGCACTCAGTGGAAAAAAAGAATATTTATTTGTCACCAGATATAGCACAAGTACTGTTTCTTAATTTGTTATGGGAGTTCAGTTTGAAAGTTAAACATTATTAATACTCAACTCCTTTTACTTAATTCATTCTTCCCATTGCTGACCTCCTCCTATTCAAGATTCAATGTCGACAAGTACTTTGGCATATTAAGTGCAGAATTCTAAATTTCAGTGACATTACATTAAAATAATTCAAGTGGACTAAAAACTGGTTTATCATTATCATACTGGCATCGTACTTCTAGTAACTGCATATATTATAATGCTACAAAAAAGAACTAACAAGAAGGGAAATCCTGGTATAAATATTCATGTTAAAATTTACAAATATGAAAGGAGGTTGTTTCTGCAGAATTTACATAAAAATATTTCTGTGGTTATTTGTCTTTAGAATATTGTGGTGCAACAGAAGACAGAAACCCATGACAGGTTAGAAATAGTGCTGTGACTTGGATCTAAACAAAGCGGCTGAGAATCACAGGCATTTTATTCCATGAAAGGAGACACTGAAATATAGAGTGAGATGAATTTTAAGCATTCATTCTGAACAATTAAGACACAGACACACACACAAAAAAAAATCCAAGAACATAATTTAATATCTAAAGTAAATTTTATGTATGATAAACTGAAACGAAGATTAACTTCCATACTTTCATGCTTATAGGGTAGCTGTGCCAGGGGCATTTTATGCTTCTGCAGAAAAGAAAAAGCCCTTCTGCTACAACAAAACCCCTTCATTAATACATCACAGGGTCAGTAAGTGCCAACATAATCCAGAATTTAATCTGTTTTCTCTGTAACTTCTTAAAATATCTTCTGAATAGCAATGAGAAGAGCAAGTTCCTACATAATACTTACTCTCTACTACAGACCTCTTTCTCCACAGCAACAATTGCCTGGTTCTGCAACAGAAACATGCCCTTTTACAGACCTCAAAGTGCATGACATTATTGCAGGCTAGAAGGAGTTAGAATAAACAAACAGCCCAAATTCCACATAATGTGGAAAAGGATGGCCAAATGTACTTTGGGGACACCGAACTTCATCGGATGAGGAGAGAAAAACAAACCAACCAACCAACCGTGAAAGCCACAAACATGGGGGGAAGTGGCCACATCCAGAGACTCTCCTTTTGATGTTGCTTATTTTTCATCTGTAATTTGGGCATCTTAGGCTGGTTTCAGAGGATGTTAGAGAGAACCACAAGACAGAGCTCTTTGTCAACTGAAGCAGGCAGCCTCTAGCCAACCACAGGGCTCGGAGGGCTGGAGCAGTACTGCCTTCTGGGAGGTGGTTGTACAGTCCTCTTTGGTTAGAGACTCAGTGGGGAAGGACAGCCCAGGGATTTTGCCCAGGAAACAGAAGAAGGTGCTGACCTGTCATATCAGTATGCCTTGGATACAGACTTTTGGGAAAGCAAGGACCAATTCTTCTAACAAGCACCAAGAATTTTCTTAAAAATTTTCAAGGCTCACCCACCCTTTCAAGTATTATCAGACTGAAATGTAGAGAGGCCCTTAGAAAGCAGCATGGATCTTCATAATCGGTGCTTCAGGTCCAGGCCCTGGTGCCAGTCCAAACTTTCCCTATTTCATTTGCTATGGGAGAGTAGCTGGGAGGTGAGGGGCACTGCCTGACTCTCACCACTGTACAGGCTGGCTGGACAGCATGCAATGAGGATGCCAGCTGAGCGAGCTTGTGTTACACATGTTGTGTCCAGTGCCACCCTATCCATTTGCAAGGTACTCTAGAGGTGTTAGAGGGGCCACACCACGGATAGCTGTGGGACATTCTGTCCCAGGCCACTTGAAACTGAGGCCACATATGTAGTCAGATATGCAAAAAGGCAAAAAACCCAAAATACCAAAAAACCACCATCAAAAACCCCCTCAAAAAACTGAGAACAAAAAAGCTTCATGAGATCAAAATGACATTCTTAAAAAAAAAAAAAAAAAAAAGACAAAATCAGCTGTTTAGGTTAGAAGCAATTCCTGCACCAGGATTAGGATCCGTTGGGACAAACAGAAGCTCTTGCAAGGAGCCTCGGTTATTGAAGGGTGCTAAATCACTAAGAACAAAGGACATACATAGGCCAAGGAGACTGTATACAGACATGGGAGTCTAAAATGCCTATTCTCTCTTTGGTTACATCAGGTAGTATTTCAGATAACCAGCTAATACTTCATCAAACCACCTAAATTAATCTGTCAATGACAGCATCAAGACTTGCAGATA